AGGCGGAAACTTTTTTTTTCTTATTCTCAATAAATATATATATATAAAAAAAAGAAACCATAACCATACTGCCCCAGCAGCCTGAGCAATGGGCTATACACTGGAATGACAGGTGTGCACAACATCTGGCCTCTGCAACTGAAAAGTTGGAACAGAAGTTGGCAAGACAATAAAACACTTTGCAAAGCAAGCCTGGTGACCTAAGCTCAATCTATGAACCCCATGTAAAGATAGGAGAAAATCACCAACTCTGCAAAGTTGTCCTCTGACCTCTAAACACATGCATGGCATTATTATAACCCCCACACAAACCCTAATAATTTTTAGTAAAATATTTACTTTTATATTATTTGTGTATGTGTGAGCGCATGCACGTGCTTGCCATAGCCACAAAAGGACATTAAAGTGCCTGAAGCTGCAGTTATAGGCAATTGTGAGCCACTCAACATGAGTGCTTGGAATTGAACTCAGCTCCTCTGGAAGAGTAGCAAGTACTCTTAATCACGGAGTCATCTCTCCAGGCTACAATAATAAAATTTTTAAAAAGGAAAAAAAAATGTTTGAAAAAAGCCAAGAATCAATTCTGAGGGAAAAGAAAGCTTTTCTGGTTGGGCACACTGGGAAGACAAGGATGAGAAGGTCCAGGTCAGGCTGAGTGTGGCACTAATGCGCACTTCAGAGACAGATGCAAATGAGACCAGCCTTGTCTACACAAAAAGATCTAGACTAGCCAAGGCTAGACAATGAGATCCTGACTAAAAATAATGTAGCAGCATTCTAACTCATCCTGGCTTATACTGGAAGCTGAAAACCAGCCTGGATTGCATGAAACACTATTTAAAAAACGAGAAAAACAGAGCTTTTAAAAACTCACACAAAAAAGTCTTACATATTAATATTGTACATGTGTGCAGAAGACAATTTTATATAAAAATATTCTTTTCATCTTTATGTACAGCTCAGGGGATCAAAACTCAGATCGTGCTGGTGCACGCCTTTAATCCAGCACTTGGGAAGCAGAGGCAGGCGGATCTCTGTGAGTTCGAGGCCAGCCTGGTTTACAGAGCAAGTTCCAGGACAGTCAGACACTCTCAAAAACAAAACAAACAAACAAACAAAAACTCTGGCAAGCTTCTTCACCAGCCCTTTATAACTCATTTTTGTCTTTTTCCCTGAATATACATTATCTATAATTTGCTTTTATTATTTCCTCATCTTTGAATGTTCTCTCTACCCTTCTCTTTCTTTTGCGCTTTTTTTTTTTTTTTTTTGGTTTGTTTGTTTTTTGAGACAGGATTTCTCTGTGTAGTCCTGGCTATCCTAGAACTCATTCTGTAGATCAGGCTAGCCACTGTCTGCCTCTACCTCCCAGTATTCGGGAGGTGTGCGTCACCACCACCCGGCTAAGCTGTACTTTATTTTGCCCTATTTTGCCCTTTTTCTTTCTTATTACATATAATTTACATATAATACACATACATTTGCCTATGGATGCATCAAGCACTGTAAAGATGCTTACTCTCACCTTATTATGTAAATATGCATGCACTGTCATATCTGTTCATCTTTGACAAATGAATAAATTTATAAACAGTCCCATTTTTAAGTTGATATAACTTGTTTTTCCCTGATTAATGTGACAGATTGATAAAACCACTATACTGCTATCCTGATCTTTCCAAGATATTGTTTTGGTATGTATGTACCTGCAGAGGACAGGGGGTTGATATGGCTGTCTTCCTCAATTGCTCGCTACCTTACTAAATTTTCAAAGGTTATTTACTTGCTAAATTTCTGTGTGTATCTATGTATTTGTGGGTACCAGGTATCCTCCTCCCTCCCCCACCTACTCCTTTGAGGAAGGGTCCAGGGCTGGCGTTTTCTCTGGTAATTTGGAAGCCTGCAAACCCAGCAATCTCTTGTCTCCACATCCATCAGAACTGGAGTTAAAGGAATATGTGGTTTGTTTGGTACATGGGTGTTGGTATCTGAGGAAATTGGATCTCTTACTGACCCAGACTCACTGATCAGTACAGACTACTTGGCCAGCAAGCCCCCAGAATCCTCCTGTCTTGACCTTCCTGGCGCTGGAAGCCTGGCACCATAATAAGCTTTTTATGGTGTCTTAGTTAGGGTTACTACTGCTGTGATGAAACACCATGGCAAAAGGCACCTTGGGAAGGAAAGGGTTTACTTGGCTTTTACCACAGGACAGGAACTCAAAAAGCACAAGAACCTGGAGATAGGAGCTGATGCAGAGGCCATGGAAGGGTGCTGTTTACTGGCTTGCTCAGCTTGCCTTTTTATAGAATCCCGGGACAGGGTTGGCACCACCCACAAGGGGCTGGCTACCATCATGCCCATACCAGGCACTAAGAAAAATGACTGATGACTAAGAAAATTATTAAGAAAATGCCCCATCTTATAGAATCATTTATTTATTTATTTGTTTATTTTGACACAGGGTTTCCCCGGGTAGCCTTTGCTGTCCTGGAACTAGCTCTGTAGACCAGGCTGGCTTGGAACTCATAGAGATCTGCTTGCTTCTGTGTCTTAGTGCTGAGATTAAAGGCATGCGCCACCACTGCCTGGTCCTAGAAGCATCCTCTCAGACGACTTTAACATTTGTCAAACTGACAGAAAACTTCAGCACACTAACCTTTTGAAATATTTTTTAAACTCAAGCCAACTCTGAGGACAAATTCTATGTTTACTCTCATTTATTAAATAAAGCAAGTGAAAATGTGTATAGCCTTTACATAATAAGAGGCAAATTGTAAAAGTGGTCCGAGTAGATGGCTGATGGAGGAGGCTCATCTGTCTATCTGCTGCTTTCATTGGTTAATTAATAAAGAAACTGCTTGGCCTGATAGGTCAGAACATAGGTGGGTGGAGTAGACAGAACAGAATGCTGGGAAAAAGGGAAGTGACGCAGGCAGACGCCATGGAGCCAGCCGCCAGGTCAGACATGCTGAATCTTTCCTGTTAAGCCACCACTTTGTGGTGCTACACAGATTATTAGAAATGGGTTAAACAAGATGTGAGAATTAGCCAAGAAGAGGCTAGAGCTAGCAGGCCAAGCAGTGTTTAAAAGAATACAATTTGTGTGTTGTTATTTTGGGTGCGGGAGCCTGGTGGGACAAAAAGCAGGCCTGCCTGCAGCTCTCACTACAGGTGGCTAGGCAAAGTGGTTGTTATACTAGCGTCTGGACCCCAGCACCCACATAAAACAACAGGTGTAGTAGCAACACAGGCTGTAAGCACTGGGAAGGAGATTGGAAGATCCAGTCATCCTCATCAATCAGTGAATTCCAGGTCAACTAAAGAGGGAACCTGTCTCTAAAGAGGAAGCATAGAATGAGAAAGATACCTAATGTTGACCTCTGGCCTCCACAAGCCCGTATCCCTGTGCACACATACATATGCCACACAGACAAACACACATACAACTGTCAAGTTTTTTTTGTTTGTTTGTTTTTGTTTTTGTTTTGTTTTGTTTTGTTTGAGACAGGGTTTCTCTGTGGTTTTGGAGCCTGTCCTGGAACTAGCTCTTGTAGACCAGGCTGGTCTCGAACTCACAGAGATCTGCCTGCCTCTGCCTCCCGAGTGCTGGGATTAAAGCCATGCACCACCACCGCCCGGCAACTGTCAAGTTTTGAAGTGTGGTCTTACATAAGTAAAAGTCTTTTCACTTTTTATTTATTTTTTCTATAATAGTGTTTACCTGAATGTATGTCTGTTTACCAGATGCATGCAGTGCCCTTGGTGTGAAGAGAGCACAGGATCCCCCTGGAACTGCAGTCATAAACGGCTCCAAATGGAGAAACAGAAAACCTGGGTCCTTGGCAGGAGCAGTCAATGCCCTTAACCACTGAGTCAACACTCCATCCCAGCACTTAGGAGGCAGAGGCAAGCGAATATGAGTCTGAGGCCAGCCTGGTCTACAGAGCAAGTTCCAGGACAGCCACAGCTGTCACACCGAGAAACCCTTTCTTGAAAAACAAATGGAACAAAACAACACACACAAACACATATACACACTAGTGCTCGCTAAATTAATTTTCTTAAAAGTTAAGCTTTACTTACCTTGAGCATACAAAGTCAGAACTGCCTGGATGGCTACATACACACCAGAAAATTGGTAAGTTTCAAACATTACCTGAAAATGGAAAGAGAAGGAAAAAAGGGAGGTGGTTTAAACAGAAAACTTTATATCTATTTATATACTTCCTTCATGATCACATGGCAGATCAGTTGATTAAGATGCAATCAAAGGACCCCGAGGAATCATCTATGCTAACGAATTGTTCTTGCCCTTATAAAGCCTAGCTTTAATTTCAATTATTAGGGCAGTTTTAGATACACGCATGCATGTGTGCCTGCAAGCATGTATGCACACCTGAGTCAAGTTCTAGAGCATTTGTAGGTGCTACAAGCAAAGATTTCTGAATACAATATAATCAGTGGCTAATCGGTATGAGAGCAAATTTCACACAAAATTTCCTAAATTGATATCCCTTTTAAAAATTACCTGTCTGGGACCAGCAAGATTGCTCAGCCAGTAAAGGTGCTTGTCTGCAAGTCTAACAACTTGAATTTGAGCCCCAGGACCCACAAGGTAGGTAGAGAGAAATGATTCACGTAAAGTGCCTTTCACCGTCATATACACAGGGTGGCAATCCTTCATGCCTGTGCTAGCTCATATGCGCGTGGGTGTGCTCGCGCTCTCTCTCTCTCTCTCTCTCTCTCTCTCTCTCTCTCTCTCTCACACACACACACACACACACACACACACACATCAATATAAAATATCTTCTTGGGACCAGAGAGATGGCTCAGCTGTGAAAGGCCAAGTTCAATCTCCAGAACCCACATGGTAAAAAACAAAAACTAACTCCCCAGAAACTGCCCATTCACGGACATTTATACATAAACACACACCACATAAATAAGAGGAAAAAATATCTATTTCCCCAAACTAAGTCAAAACTGGCCCTACCCCCCCCCCCAGTTAAAAACAAATAATAAAAGAAATAGAACTGGGGATGTAATCCAGAAGAAGAGCTCTTTCTAGTTTCAATGAGACTCTGTATCTGACTCCCTACCAGTGGAATGAATGAATGGTAAAATGAGGTGTGATGTGGGATTCCCCTCTGTATGCTATGAATACTATTGGTTAACAAAGAATCTGTCTTGGGCCTGGCAAGGCAGAATAGACTTAGGCCAGCAAAACTAAACTGAATGCTGGGAGAAAGAAGGCGGAGTCAGAGAGACACCATGAAGCCACCAAAGAACAAAGACGCAAGCTGCCAGCTGGAATCTTGCTGGTAGGCCATGAGCCTTGTGGTAAAATATAAAATAATAGAAATGGGTTTAATTAAGATGTAAGAGCTAGCCAATAAGAAGTTAGAGCTAATAGGCAAGCAGTGATTTAATTAATACAGTTTCTATGTGGTTATTTTGGGGCTGAGCAGCCAGGAACAAACAAACAGCCTCCTACTACAGAGGAGAAGACAAAAATTAAAACACTAAGTTGTCAGATGTAGAGACTGCTCAGCTGCCCAGCCCACTGACTCTCTATCTGAGTCCAGACTGTAACTCTACTTCACACTGAGTTACACTGAAGGGAGGTATTTTCTTGGGCCCTCCCTGGTCATATCTGCATTCATTCTCTGCAGCCCACGTCAGCTGAGAAAAATCTTAAAATGATTTCTTTTGGTCTTCTATTGTAATCACTCACTGACTGATAGGGCTATCACTCTGAATATTTATATATTTAACAACTGATTGAAATGAGAACTATACAGAACTTCAATTTTACAATTTTGGAATATTCTAACATTTTATTCCAACAACCCTTTAATAAAGTAATGCTGTGTGTGCATATACCAACAAAATGTAAAGCCCTCCAAAGTCCATTATTTAAATCAATAACAAAGTTCTCCTGCCCTCACCTCAGTAGCCTTTTTAATCTTTCAGCAGGTTCTTCCCTCTGGCCCCCAGCCTTATCTCCACTGTCTCCTCTCATTTCTTTGATGAAAAGTTATTATTTCAAAGACTTCCTAGTTTTTACCTTGAATCCCAGATTGTTGTCTTGAATTACACACACACACACACACAGGCTTTACTATTTTTCCATTAGTCTTATTACTTTCTAATAAACTACTTAATTTAATCACCTAACTTTTGGGGAGGGGAATGTTCTCATCTACTAGCATATACATGCTGACTGGCCCTTATTCAAAATGCTTGAGACCAAAGAGATTTTTGATGTTCGTTCGTTCATTCATTCATTCATTCATTTTATTGGTTTTTCGAAACAGGATTTCTCTGTAGCTTTGAAGCCTGTCCTAGAACTCGCTTTGTAGCCCTAGGCTGGCTTTGATCTCAGAAGAGATCCACCTGCGTCTGCCTCCCAGAGTGCTGGGATTAAAGGCATATGCCACAACCATCCAGCTGGGATTTCTAATTTTAAATTTGGAATATTGCCTATTTATCAGGTGAATTCCCTGATAATATTCAAAATTTGTTACAAAATTCATAATTTCATAAGCATCATAAACATGATCAAAGCATTTCAGATTTCAGATGAGCAACCGCCAATTTGTAGGAAATGCAAAACAATCAAGATCTAGGGAGAAATGATTACATTTATTTATCCTTAGCAGCAGAAGCAGCAAGAAGAAAAAAATTCTGTTTTACATTCTATCACAGAGGTACACAAGGTTATCCAGCCCATCAAAAACTTACCTCTACAATCTTCTCTCTGTTTTTGGTTGGGTTCATGGGAGGTTCTGTGAGTAAAATCTTGCAGTTTCTGGTGTCTATATTCAGCTTCTCTGGTCCAAATGTGTAGTCCCACAGGTGCTTCATGTCATCCCAGTTCCGTACGATGCCATTCTCCATAGGGTAGTTAACCTCCAACATGGAGCGCAATTCACTCGCCTCATCACCAACCATGAGATCCTAGAGGACGGGATAGCAAAGCTTTAAAACAAAGTTTTATGTAAAGAAGCTTTAGACAACTATATTCCTGGATTTTAAAAGCTCGAGAATAACTGAATTTTAACTTTTCTTGGACTTGCAGATCAAGTATTTTATTCCAAAGCTAATACTCTTTTCTTTCAAGAACAGTTTACAAAGTTCAATCAATATTTTATGTACTATGTATTTAAATCAATAAATTGACCTTACCTTTAATACATGTTTCCAAAAGAAGAGCATTAGCACAAATAAACCCCACATTTTCATATTTTGAAGGGTTTTGTATGAGGTTTCATCTGTTTCTTTTGCTCAAATGTTCAAAAAATAAGTCCTGTGATATGTGAAATAGCACATCGGGAAAAAAACTTGAAAAATGCTCAATGAACACAAGCACATTTCTTTCTATCAAAATGATTTATATCAATGTAGATGCAAAATCATGATTGTTCATTTCTCTATAACAATGCATTACTTACGCATACCCATTAATGGACTTCACAAGCGTCTATCCATAATGTATGCATTAAAACAACTCCTTCAAAGTTCTCCCATGGGCAACATTTTTAATCCTGAAGTGTAATACTGGAAATGAATGCTATCTTTCATGAAGCACAATACTCATAACCTGTCTTCAACCAGAGTTGAAGGAGACCCACATAAAAACAAGGTAAACAGAATCTTAATATTTAAATGTTTTAGAAATCACCAATCCAGATATTATTTCTACATTAATGAATTCAATTAAAATTTAGTACCAGAAATAGTTATTTGGTATAATAAAAGTTTGAATTCTGAGGAAATGAAGAAAAGAAACTGCAAAACTAACACGAGAAGATGTAAAATTAGGCTTTTAATAATCTTAAGGGGTAGTAGGGTTCAATCTGCAATGCTGGCGATAATGGGGGAAAAAAACTGGCCTAGAAATGTCCCAGAAAAATAATTTTAAACCTGAAAACCAGGATAAGGAGTCTATTAAAAGTCAGATTTCTGAAAGATACACTAATGGCAAAGGAAAACAAAGATCACTAAAACTTTCTATAGCAACTAATTTCTTATAAAGTCAGTTTTCCCAAAATTAATACTCAAGTTCCTTGACTATTAACTACTCAGAATCTTCAGGAAGAAAATGGAAAACTGGAAAGATCTCTACTTGTGAACTCTGGATACAGGCATGCATGGTGAAGTATTTAGGGAGAAGTTTACTACTATCTGTTCCTTAGTGAAACATCAAAAATAAACAACAGCAAAAAACCAAAACAAACAAACAAACAAAAAACCCAGGGCATTTTGATGGATGTATAGTTATGTAATTAGCCAGAATAATAAATGTTTTGTTTCTGAAAGAGGGTCCATCTATGTAGCCCTGGCTGTCCTGGAACTCTATTACGTAGAACATGCTGACCTCAAACATACAGAGATCTGTCTCCCTTTTGACTCCCTAGTACTGGGATTAAAGTTGGATAGAAGGTATTGTCCCTACACCTGGTTTAAAATAACAAATATTAATACTGAATGAAATCTAGGTGATTGATATATGGAGAGTCTGTAAAACCTGTTTAACGTAGTTATATGTGTTAAACAAAAATTTCTTAATTAAAAGCAGAGAAAAAATCTATACCTGCAAATATATATGCTACTTTTAGCTATTAAGTATAATTTCATACCAATTTGTTATTTATTTGTTCCTATGATAAATGAATTTTTTATTATACTATACAAGACAACTGAGTTAGATAATGAGTTGATTGATAGTTACTATTATTTCAACCAATTTAGAGTAAGTATAATACAATATCAACAAATTACACTTACTTTATTCCTCTAAAGAACAGAGGTTTATTGCTGAGTGGTGATGGTGGCGCATATCTTTGATCCCAGCACTTGGGAGGCAGAGGCGGGTGGATCGCTGTGAACTCAAGGCCAGCCTGGTCTACAAAAGTAGTTCTAGGACAGCCAGGACTACACAGAGAAACCCTGTCTCAAAAACCAAAACCAAAACCAGAGGCTTATAGCAACTCAAAATAAAAGCTTTATGAATCTTCTTCTAGGGTCCCACATATTATGAACTATTAACTGAAAGGGCCATCTGACACTGAGTTTAGTCCCTTATGAACAAAAAGGGACATTTAAAAATTGAGATGTATAAGCCTAAGGGACTTAGTGAAAAATTTGTTGATAAAAATTGTTTTTTAAGCCCTCAAACAGGCCAGGGATGTTACGTAGCTGGTATAGTGCTTGCTCAGCATGCATGAAGCCCTGGGCTCCATCCCAGTACAGACCAGTATCAGGTAGGAGGGCACGTTGTAATCACAGAACTTGGAAGGGAGAGAGGCAAGAGATCAGAAGTTCAAGGCCTGCTTGAGGTATCTGAGACTCTGTCTCAAAAAAAACCATGAAAAAAATTAAAAAAAAACAAAACAAAAAACAAAAAGCAGAACACAAACAACGAATGTAGGTACTGTGGCACACACAATCTTAGTACCTCAGAGGTCTAGGTAGGAAGATGGAGACTGTCAGAGTTCAGGCTCAGCCTGGGCTGCATAGGAAGATCAAAACACCAAACAGCCAGGAATAGTGGCACAGCTTGTAATGTCAACACTCAAATGACTGAGGCACTGGTCTACAGAGTCAGTTCCAGGACAGCCAGGGCTACACAGAGAAACCCAAACCAAAAACAAAGAGATAGAGGCAGGAAGATCAGTACCTCAAGGCTATCCTAGGCTCCACACCTAATTCCAACCTAAACTATATGAAACCTTATGTGAGGAAACACACACACACACACACACACACAACCAACCAACTAATTACCAAAACCTCCAAACAAAACCTAGACCATATATAAACTTTACCTTAGAACCTTTCAATTTTCAAATGTCAAAAATGCTAATAACCCAGCTGGGCGGTGGTGGCACACATCTTTAATCCCTGCTCTAGGAAGGCAGACCTCAGTGGCCTGTTACTGATCAAGTTCCGGGATGACCAAGGCTGGCTAAACAGAGAAATCCTGCCTTGAAAACCAAAAAACCAACAATCAAATCAAAGAATCTTAAGTTCCCTCCTCCCTTTAGAAGCAAGCAGGAAATGTTCAGAGCAGCCCTGAAATTTTACTGTTGCCCACCACTGGACTTCAAGCCTAAACCTCACCTGGAACTTAGAAACTCACAGGAAGCCAGGCGGTGGTGGAGCACACCTTTAATCCCAGCACTAGGGAGGCGGAGACAGGCGGATCTCTGTGAATTTGAGACCAGCCTGGTCTACAGAGTGAGTTCCAGGACAGGCTCCATAAGAAAAAAGAAAGAAAGAAAAGAAAGAAAAAGAAAAGAGAGGGAGAAAAAAAGGAACTGAGACACCGGGCAACAGTCATTTATTTAGAATAAATTATATTTGCCAAGAATGATTTTGAACAATGTCACTCTGAACCAGAAAATAGAAAAAACTACAAGCTTTAAACCACAATTACATCCCTATAAGGAAAGTATCTGTAATCAGGGACATGCAGGCTGGAATTCGGATTACAGAGTGAAGTTACATCTCAAAACATGTTCTTTCTCTTCACCCACCATACTGCGGATTTTACTTTTATACTGAAAGAACAATACCAATTAGATATTCTATTCCTGATTTAAAAAGAACTTTAAAATTATGCTTATACTATTCTCTACAAGTACGCCCTGTCTAAAACTCTCTTCAGTATTTAAGACAATGCATGCTCTTTTATTCAGAAAAAAAAATTCCAGACTTAAAGACTACCACAGAAAAATGTAATAAGAGTCCAATTGGACAGGCCCAGCAAGCCTCTAGTTTGTTTGTTTGATAGAAGGGAGGTCTATGCATGGTATTTACTCATGGGGGGGGGGGGGCTTTTACTTGTGGAAAAGCCTGACAGGACTGTAATTTTTTTCTTATTTAGTCTCAGATAATGTCAAACCTACTCATCAGGAAGGATGACATGGAAACAGATTTTATTACCTTTTTCTCTTATGATTCATGTATAAAATAAAAATTTACTCAGTTTATCAAATACATATATGTTATCATACTGGCTGCAAACAGATGCATTCAGTATAATAGGCAATATATAACATCAATCGATAAGCTTAAGTCCCCAAATGTAACAAATTCACCCGTTTTCTATCTGTATCACATAGCTACTTCATTTCTGTATTATGCACACCACATTCCATTTTAATTATAACATTCATCTACAAAAAAATTAAAAAAATTAAAAACTATGTTAGTAATTAGTTTTGTTTGGTTCATTGTATGCAATCAGGAAAGTATAGAACTATTAGTTGCTACAAAACTGAAGAAATAAAAAAGGTTAAAAATTAAAGTACTTAAAACAAAAATATGGGTTTTCCCCCTCCCCAATACTAAAGGGACACAAAACAACAACTACTGTCCCGCCAGGCAAAAGTGGAAAACAAACAGAGCATGTGTGTAACCTCACTTACCATCTTTTTGTTATTCTACTTCAACAGGTCAAGAAAGGTGAAGAAAGAGAAGGTAGAAGCAAGAGTCAGAAAAGGCCTACATAAAATCCTCACTGAAATGTTTAAACATACAAGCAACAGAGACAATTAGGCTGAGGTCAGATGCAGTACTACTATATCTTATGGTGTTAATTATCAGGGCCAAATGAACACGGACAGTAATTACTTCTAAATGAAAATTAACTAGATGATTTAAATTTTCATTGTCTTAGTCTACCATCACATTTTAACTAACAAGACTTACAAATATAAGTCAATTCACTAAGCACGGGGATTCCAAAAATTATTGAATTGAACTTTGAACTTCAATTAAGAAAACACGGAAAATACACGGTCTAGCTCAGTAAGAATTTAGTTCAGGTGTGTTTATCTAACTAAGCCCTAGTATTCAAGTGAAAGAAAAGCAATTTAACTTGAAGGCTTCAAAGACAGCAGCGTGAAAAGAACTGACGTAAACACAGAATGACAAATTATATCAGCAATCGCTACTAGAGCCGTCCCTGAAAAATGTCTCATAAGAAAACTATTGATTTTTAACTACTTGGGCTTTCTAAGAAGCAAGAAAATAAGAGAGAAGAAATGTGTTGTTTTTGTTGTGTTGGAGACTTAAAAATGACTATATTTTTTTCTGAACTTCAAAAATGCTATCATTCATAAAAATGTTTAAAAGCCAGACATTAAATAAAATGCATTATTTCCACTCAGTTTTCCCTCATCACAGTACTAGCTGAATTTCATGTTGAACTTCTTTCAAGACAGAATTTGCCAGGCTTCCTGTTGCACACCTCTCCGAGTTCAAGGTCAGCCAGGCTATATAGTAAGACTTTGTTTCCAAAAAAAAAAAAAAAAAAAAAAAAGATAAAATTTAATCAGAATGAAAATTTATGAAAAGAAAAAGGATTCCAACAAGATTTCCCTGCAAGGCCTATCCTAAAATGTCTTATAGTGAGTGAACCACTTAGTTGTTGAAACCTACCAAAGGCCAGAATTCACTTTTAGGTTTTTAAAACAAACCTAGACCCTAAGTTTCCATGTGTATTTTTATCTATCATCTAACTAAATTCTCTGGCTCCCACAGTAGAGACCTAAAACACAGGAATCTCTATCATCCATTACACCTGTCACCTTTCTTAGCACTCAAACAAGTGTCCCAGCATCCTAACTCTTACCAAAGGCTGCCCAAACAGGACCAAACAATGCTAACTATTAAAAAAAAAAAAAAAGCCTCACTAAAAAAGCCCCTGAATTCTACTGGTTTACATCATCTGGACCCTATCTGAAAAATGTTCTTTTAATTATCTACTTCTTATGAAATGTGATTCCTGCTTGATCTCTAGATCAGTGGGAGAAAAAATGGTTGAGTCTCTCACACAAAGTACTTTGGCTAATGGCAACTTGCCCTCTTCTGCCATTACAGTAAGACAAATAGTGTTAAGACCAAATAAAGATCAACCTGACTTCCTCCCGCACTATGAAAATCAACTGTAATAGTGAGAAGAGAAACCAGTTCTAGACTTCTGGGTTTCTCCTGACTGACTGCATAAGAGTAGGAGGGTCAGCCTATGGGAACACGGAGAGAAAAGCCCCAAGTCTCAGAGACACTAAGATGACTAAAATGTATCAATTTTCTACTTAATTTTAAAGCTGGTATTTTATACTCCAAATCGTAATGGCACCATGCTATACATAAACAAAAAGATAAAATTAACTTCAAGGGTCTTTCTGCCTTTGTTGAAGTGTTACTATAAATTACAATTACTGGCAGTTCTCTGCTTTTCCTGACATTGTACTTTACACTACTTAATTCAAAGATCACTTCACACATCCTCATGGTTATAGCGATGAATAAAACATTACCTTGATTTCAATGTTTCCCACTTTGGTGGTTGATCTGATAATAGGTCTTCCAACCAAAGCTGGGAAGATGTGTTCCGGAAAGTTAGAGCCCGCATAGCCACACTTCACAAACTGGAAGGAAACAGTAAAGAGTGGGTTAGTAATCAAGCACTTACTATGGGTATTTAAAAACTGTATCAGAAGACATCACTTTGCTTTCAAACCATCCACAGTGGTTATCCACTCTATTCCTAACATCATCTCTTATTCTCCCAGGTACCAGGTCCTTCCAAACCTTGTATTCATTAGGCTTATTATTGCTGTGATGGAACACCATGGCCAAAGTAACTGGAGGAGCAAAGGCTTACACGTCCACATCATAGTCCAGCACTGAAGGAAGTCAGGACAGGCACTCAAACAGGGCTGGGACCTGGAGGCCAGAGCTGATGCAGACCATGGAGGAGTGCTAATACTGGCTTGCTCAGCTGCTTTCTTAGAGAACCCAGGACCACCAGCTCAGGGTGGCACCACACACTAGGCCCTCCCCCATCAATCTCTAATTATGAAAATGTGCCACAGGCTTGCTGCCCACAGCCCAATCTTATAAAGGCATTTTTTTTTTCCTTGTTTGTTTTGAGACAGGGTTTCTCTGTGTAGACCTGGCTATCCTGGAACTTGCTCTGTAGACCAGGCTGGCCCTGAACTCATAGAAATCCACCTTCCTCTAACTCCTGAGTGTTGGGATTAAAGGAATGCACCACCACTTCCCAGCTAGAGGCATTTTCTTAACTGAGAGCCCCTCCTCTCAGCTGACTAGTTTGTGTCAAACTGACGTAACTATTTAGAACAGCCTGTCGGGCAGTGGTGGAACAAACCTTTAATCCCAGCACTTGGGAGGCAGAGACAGACAGGTCTCTGTGAGTTCAAGGCCAGTCTGGTGTACAGAGCGGGTTACAGGACAGGTTCCAAAGCTACAGAAAAACCCTGTCTTGATAAACCAAAACCAAAATAAAACAACAACAATGAAACAACAACAAAGACAAAAAGCAATCCACTATCTAGAACAGAGTTCATATTTAGTTTTTGGGTAACTACTTCCTAAGTGTCTCCAGAGGGTAAAGTGCTCAAGCAGGGAGCTAAGCTGGTGGTTCATGCTGGAGCCTGCCTGAAAGCAGCATCAGCGCACAGTGCTCGCTCAGAACTACTTGGGAATAGACACATTCACTCAACAAATTCTAAGTAATTAAAGAGAAATGAGCCGGGCGGTGGTGGCACACGCCTTTAATCCCAGCACTCGGGAGGCAGAGGCAGGTGGATCTCTGTGAGTT